CCCCAAAACCCCAAAACCCCAAAACCCCAAAACCCCTCAAACTAAACATTCAATTGAAATTAAATATATTGAAAATGGAAGGTAAAGCTTTAAATTTAAATGAAACATCTTGACTATCAACGGGAGACCTACTCTTGGATCTTGATTCATCCTGTTTAGAGAAATCGCCATTTAAGTGCATTAGAGCTTCAGAGAGAGACTGCAGCTCTGTTGAGAAATCACCTTTTAATTATAACCCAAGGTAAGACTCTTGCTGATTTCATAGCAAAGCAACACCATCCAAGAAGGTTGAGTCAATTAAGATGCAACCGAAGCTTGGGGTCGATATAAAAAAGTTCAGGCCCAAGTGTGATGCTCAAGAGTCAAAGAGTAAGCTCTTCAACCCTGTTTTGGGCATATTGACCCTCTGTTAAATAAAATTAATGAGAATAAAAAGCCTTATTTTGGGATTCGCAGGAAATTAGACATATTTACACCGGTCTATAGATGACCCATGCATGCTTTCCACTGAGTCAATGATACAAAAGTACATGATGAAGTTTAAGAAAAGTTGTATGGGCATGTTTAATGCAGATTTGGAGGTACATTTTTCTACCTAACCTTAAGGACATCCGAGGAAGACTAAATAACTTCACAGAAATGCAAAACTCTATTGAGACTATGACTAGGTAAGTTTACCGAGTAATTTGTTTAAAGCACTATTCACAAATTGGAGAAAAGAGTTGAAGAGTTGGAGAGCAAGAATGAAGAAGCAACAAATGTGAGGAGTTCAGCCTAATTTTTAGCAAAATGCAAGCTTATTATCAAAGCTGAATAATTCAAGGCTTTTCCATGCCTCACATCTTAACTCTGTTGATACCCAAGTCACACATTTGAAAGATAGCAGATCAAGGTAACTGTAGCATGCTTAATTTGTAGATCACTAATGGCTGATTTAAGCGTCAGACAAGCTTCGAATTTCTCAGGAGTCAATGAGTCTGCTGAAAGAGAAAAATTAAGAGACAGCGGTAAGCTCTTCTTATTAAAATTTTAGTGGTTTCCACATCTCCAATGAGTCGGTTAAATAAGAGATATAAGAAAACCTCTCAGAGTACGATCAAGCCGCTTGTAAATAACAGTATAGTAAATCATGGTAGGTCATACATGACTCAGAACTTTAGACACAAGAAATGTCCAGCTGCAAAGTACTCCTAAAAAGTACGAATGAATTGAGAAAAAGTTCTGCACTCAATCAATGAGCTCAGAGCATGTAAGCTCCATTTCAATGGAGTTGGAGTCCAACTTAGACAAGATGAGCGATCAGGATATCACTGAGGTAAAGAACTCATTTGGAGAAACAAACAGGAATCTTGTATATAAGGCAGTAAACAAGAGGAGACAAATAAATTTCGTGAACTCTAGCGTTCATGAGTCATCAGAAAGTAAGAAATTTCAGCTAATTTATAGGCGAAGATGAAGACTTTCTGGCTTATTGCAAACCATATGACCCGTATTGTCCTTGACATCCTAGGATTGCGACCACTGATTTTGAACCAAATTACGAATCAAATGTGACTGATACACAATATGAACTCAGCGATAAGATAGAGTCAAATGATGACGGAAATTTTGAGCCACAAGACGAGAGTTGCAATATGAATACAGTTGATATCAACCTTGAGAAAATGCATAAAAGGAAGGTTTCAACCACCAAGAACAACAAAAATCTTGTTGTGCGTTCTCAAAAATGTGGGAAACTTTGTAGATACTTACCTGGTAATTTCTTTATATAATTCTGTAGCTGAGGAACAGCTTAATATCCTGAAAGGAGTCTCTAGCTTCAAAGGTGCAGCATGTTCTGAGAAATATAATTATGCTATTTCTTCTGACTGGTGGAATCAATTTTGAGACTTCATCAACATTGAATTCAAGGACCCAAAGGATATTTTCTCTCCTGCCCATGAAAGTGACATGTACAGGATCTATTTGGAGAGTGACAATTGTCTCACACCTTCATTAGAAAGTATGAGTCGTGAGCCAGCAAAGGAGTCTGAAGAGGAAAAGGAGCCAGCTAAGTTCACTTTCAACCATGAAGAGCTTTATAAGAGACCTGGAATGATCACTAACATTGACATTGCAAGATGGAGGGATGGAATAATTACTTTAAAGCCCAATTTGAGGATGGTATTCTTTTTCTATAATACTCTATAGATTCATGATTATGTCAAAGTAGACTATATCACTAATCTCTATAGGTATCCCAACAGCAGTTCAATTACTTATCAAAATGGTATGGATATGATCTTAAAGTCATCATCAGCCCACTTGATAGCGAATATGGGACAGTTAAGTCAAAAGCAGCTAGGAGAAGAAGATCTCTGTACTAATTCTCATATTTTTATTTAACAAAATATTCTGTTTCTGGGGTTTTGGGGTTTTGGGGTTTTGGGGTTTTGGGGTTTTGGGG